GAGGATGTAGGAAAGGAATAAGAGTGGGGGAGGATGTGAAAATTGGGGAAGGAGGCGGGGAAGGGGAGGCGGTGAGGGGGTGAGAGGGTGAGTTAGTAGACAGGGAAAAGCACCGGTGGCTATCGGAGGCTTATGTAGGTGTTGTTTCGGAGGCTGACTCATGTCTTTGTGACCTATCACAGAAGAAATAGCTGTCATGATCAGTCTTGTTTCTTTGTTCTTCGACTAATCAATCTAATTTTACTTGATATTTAGCCGGGAATTTCTCTCCGTTTTGAAATACATTTTAGAGGGTCGTTGGAGGGCGCCAAGGGTAGGTTCTACTCTTGCTTTATTCCTGTGTTGGTTTCTTTTTTTTCTATCTGGCTTGTTTTCCCTCCAGCGCTAAATGAAAGTTATTGTGCTTTTAAGTAAAATAAAAATAAAGAAGACAAAGCGAAAGCAGAAGGCCTATATACTGTAATACATAAAATGTGATATATTCTTAAATGTGTGTGCGGTGCGCGCGCGTGTGTGTACGTGCGCTTGCATGTGTACATGGGTGTGTGTGCATATATTATGTGTAGTGTATGTGTGAGTGTATATCCTGAGTTTTATATCTTACTCTTCGATGAGAGCGCTTTCAGACCTTAAAATGGTAAAAGATAAAAAGTGGGTAAGTAAAGAGGTTTATCAAACAATCTACTATGCTTCTTTATCTGCCCAAGAAGTGTCCACTGGCGTCTTATAAGTAATCCAAAAAGCAAGAGCAGCATTCATCATCCTCAGGAATATATGGATGTTTAAGGAACTGAGATTAAACACCAAGATGGGGATCTTCAAAACAAACGTGAAGACTGTTCTACTGTATGGTTCAGAGCCTTGGAGGCTCACAGCATGAGCAGCAAGGAAACTACAGCTTCATAAATGGATGTCTAAGAAAGATAGTGGGGATCAAGTGGTATGATCGCTCAACTTAAGGAAACAACATGCCAAAGGCTATTAAAGGAAGACATACAGGTGAAAAAATAGAAAATGGATTGGGCATACCCTGAGGAGACCCCCGACAAGAATCATCAGACAGGATTTGACGTGGAATCTACAAGGAAAACGTGAGAAAGGAAGACCAAAAATGACATGGAGGCGAGCGGTACAAGTGGAAATCGAAAAGGCGGGGACATTATGGAAACAGCTAGAAAAGGAAGCACAGGACAGGCTTCGCTGGAGAAATGTTGTCGATGGCCTATGCTGCACTAGGAGTTAAAAAGGGCAAGAGAGAGAGTTATTTAAATCTAGACCATAG